TCTCTGAATGACCTATTGAAACTAATTAAAGACCTAATTATTGTTTGAACCCATTTAATTAATAAGCGCCACCTTTGAATGATTGTTTCGATGACAATATTCAAATGGACAGTTTTTATACGTGACACTATGTTAGGATACTTTCAATATTGCTATTTCCCCAATTTTAAATAATTTTGACAATATTTATTATATTTTAATTGTCAAATTTGTGTGGTCAAATCCCATAGAATTATCATTGCAATAGAGTTAACATCACCCATGTTAAACTTATGTCATAGACTTAGACTTTAATCCCATAGAAACCCATGTTAAACCTATGAAAGAAACCCCATGTTAAATCCCATTGGCGCGTCGAGATTCTGTAAACCATATTCTTCATAAATGAATTGTGGTTAAAAATATTTAGAAAAAAGTTACAATTAAACCTAGGTAATATACAAATACAGATATCCTTGTTTGCAAACCAAAGTATAATTGCGTGCAACTGTATTGCGATGATAAATATGATTATTTTATATTTAAACATTAAATCTAATATTTATAGAGAATATTCTTATGTTTAGGAATGTATTGTTTATATTTGTTATATTGCTATAAAAGAAATTATTTGTCGACAAATCGTACGACAATTGAATCGATAAGTTTTGATTGAATAAGTGTTGAAAAGAGCGAAGAAATAAAGCGAATAACGAGAGAATGTGAGAGAGAAAGAAGAAAAGAGAGAACCAGAGAACTGAATATAATTTAATTTTATCGACGCTAACAAATGTTTCATTCAATTAAGACATCAAATGAACAAAATTTAATAATCGCTTCAAAATTATTTTGATTTAAAAATTAGAAAGAATTTATATCCAAAATGTTTGAGCAAATGTCTAGACTCTGAAATTTTACATGAAATCTAATTATAAATGATCTCAAGTTATTTGGTAAATATATTTCAATTAAAATTTACATTGGTCAATCGTAATATTGTACAATATTTGATCAAGGTTCTAAATAAATGAGTAAGTAGAATATGTTCGCAAGTTTTTTAAATTCTCTTTTTTAATTTATTATTAGATGTATTAATAGTTTTATAGCCCAATGTTATTGAAAATATTCCAATTGTATGCAATATTTAGTAAAATACTAGAAATGTTAATTCTGAATAAAAAATATCTTATTTTTGAGATTATTTAAAATAAAATATGTAATCCGGGAATTAAAATATTGTCAAATAAAATATTTTATCATAAAATCGGTTAATAGTTAAAAAAAATAAATGACATATTATTCCCGGTTATTGTTTTATGGTTTTGTAAATAGGAAAAAGTGTTCAGTTCTTAACTACATCTCTACACATCTACAGTGCTGTACATTTATATATGAAATGAGTTTTATGATGGTTAGTATTAACCGGTGAAGTAAATGCATAGCCATATCCGTATCAATTCCTGTCGTCTCAATCTTTATTTCATACAATTAAGCGAATTTTGCGAAGGCTTTTAAGAAAAGCAATTAATAATATGGTGACAAATTGACTGTCAACTAATCCAATGGTTTCAAAACATATAACAAACTTAAGTAAATACAAAAACATGGAGTTATTGGCTATCAATGGATACAGAATGGAGGCTATCGTTGAATCAATTGAGTCGTTAGTTTTATTATAGTCTTTGATATAATATATTATAATTATTTAACATTTTCTTATTCAGAGTCACATAATATGGAAAAAACAAAATAAATTTACAATTTATTATATTTGAAAGCATTGACTGAAAATAATTATAACCCCAGTTATAAGTGGAGTAATGGCTTCAATACTATACGAATGAATATATGATTTATGATTCAAAGACCTGAAAACAAATTACATAAAAAGCTAATGAGTTTATGACTTCTGTGTTTAATATAATTTGTCGATTATATGTTACAAAATTTCACTCATTTTTAATTATAACTCGCATTTTAGGCATTAATTTCATGTAATTTAAGAATTTCGTTGAGAAATGAGTGCTTTTAATTGCAAAATAGGATTTTTATATCAAAATATTAACCAAAATTAACATAAGAATGGCTTATATTTCAAGATTATTCATATATTTTGCCAGAATTTATTGTAAACTTTTGTTCTCATATATGCATAGATATAAAGGACACTAAATGTTGGGTACGTTTGGGTGTGGTTTTGCATGAATGGGATGAGCGCTCGTAGAATTGCGGCCAAACCTTTGCTCATTGATCGCAAGTCTAACTGCGATGACCTCAAAATGTTACACAATTTACGGCACAATTGTTTTGCAGAATACGATTGTTTGACAGAAAAAATGCTAAAAGAGTTAATCACTTACGAGGTCTGGTTGTTGTCAAAGAATATAACGCCATCAGTCATCTGAAACTCGACACCATCTTTGGCGGTGCCCTCACAGGTGTGATACGGCACAGACACCCGTCCGCGGGCGCCACTGAATCGGTTCACTTTCAGACGATATTCACCGACAGATTCCGAGATCTCGTATTGGGTTTCGGCGAATGAGTAGACGCCTGAGTGGTCGTCGTCGAGGATCATAACAGTGGCGATCGCAGGGGTGGCCAACTGTAAGAGCGGCGGATTCTTATTGGACTGACTGATCGCACCATTCATTGGAGTGCATCCGTCGTGACTTAAATACCGCGGATTACTTAACCGCACGTAAAAGTGCTCGTCTTCTTCAAACACGTCGTCGTCGATCACTGTTATGAACACCTAATCCATTGAAAAGCATTAAAAACAATACATTATTAACTATAACTTATATTCGATGAGAATTGTCTTTAAAGACCTGTTTATGCATTTCGTTGGGTCTGAAGATAATGGTTCCCTCGATTGGCTCGTAATCAGAGCCGGCATTTGCGGTGCCGTCCTCTGTCTTAAAGTCGACACAAACAGTAGGCCTGACGTCTCCCTCACGGCTTATGGTGACCGCGAATTGACCCACATTTTCCATGACGGTGTAATGAGCAGGGTTGAAATACACCTTGATTATGTCCTCCTTGTCTTTGTGCTCCTCTTTCTTCTCATCCGTTTTGCCCACTCGTCTCTTCACCAGAGCGTTACCTCCCGTTAGCTTTTTAGTCGCCTTTATGTTCAATATTTAATATATATTTTATTATATTTCGGATATAAAAGTTAATTATATTATTGCAAAGAAGATAAGTATGTATGAAAATATTTTCCCAATCGATCGATCATTTTGTGAGATATTATACGTGAATAAAATATATATCAAACAATAATAAGTAATCAAAAGCAATGAATAAAATTGTACAACGATTGATACGTGTATGTGTGCTCTTATTAATTATAATAGTATAATAATACCATATTCGCAAAAACAATTCAATATATTGAATTATGCTAGTTTTAGTAATATTATATTATATTATAATAGTATAATATACCATAAAGTAATATAATGTAACATAAAAGTTTTATAAAGGTGTAAAATGTGAATGAGTTATAAAAATATATATAGAAAATAATGCAAAAAATTAAGTGTTTTGTTAAATGGATCCCAAAAAACTAAAATAAGTTTATACTAAAATGCATACAAAATGTGTTGACTCGCGTCACCACTAGAATTGTTTTAATCGATTTAAAGCAAAAGTATTTCTATGCTTTCTATGTATGGCATAAACACAATAGAAATTTAAGTTAATTATCAAACACTTAAATTCCCAAAATTGCTAATAAATAATAAACTAAAAGGCAAAGTTGCATCATTTATAACTTGAACAAAACGAATTATATTTTAAGTTTAATTTATAAAATAATTAATTTTTAAATATCGTTTGTCTTTGTATTAAATACTGAAGATTAATCAAATTCATTGTTATCTCCAGATTTTGACTAAGATTTGAAAAATTCAATTATAATGTTTATATACCACAGAATTGTTAGGTAAAGGATTAAGGAATTGATTTAGGATTGGGATAAATATTAGGGCACAGAGGATAAGATTATTTGATATAAACAATAGTTTGTGATAACAATAGTTTTATCCGAAAGAATATTCTTAAACGAAGCAATTTTACCATATTATATTTCTGTACATCAAATATGTTTAAGCTGAGAATAGGGTAACCAAGGGTTAGAATTATCAAACACTCGATTCATTTACACCAAAAATGTATATCATAAATATTTTTAAGGTGCCCTTAAGAGCAAATAAAAACCACATTTTAAATAATGTTTTAAAAATGTATATATAATTTAAACATTTTAATTAACCATGATATTAAACGATAAAATAGGCATTAATTGTAATCATTTTGTGGAGTGTTTCTTAAAAATGCAACTCTTAATAAAAAAAATTTAACAAAAAAAAGTTGCCACTAATTGTTAAAAATAGAAATTTCCTCAACAACTCGTATAACATCTGATTTAAATGGCTTATAGTCTCTCGGATTTGGATTGAATTCAAAAATTCAAGTATTATTTCGTGGAGTTTTTGTTGGTGTAAATTAGGAAAAGCACTTCTTCTTCCTCCTCTCCTCTAGACTCTACACATCTCTAACTCTGACCCACTTTTAGACATTTTTTATTATAAAAATTCTCGTTTAATGTCAAAATAGGTATTCAATGAAATCAAAAATCTGTTTTGTCTTTAAGTAAATACGAAATTCTCTTTAAGTTTTCGCTCATTTAAATTGCAACTTATTTTATAAAAAAAACTATTACTGCATTTAAAACTATATTTAATTTAAATACGAATATAAATTTTAAACACTAATACATTAATTTAAACAGTAATAATAAATGTAAATTTTGTTATTATGTGATATTAATACACTTTTCGTAGGATTAATTATACAAATCTATAATGTAATCAAAAATATATTTATAATATTTTTATAAATAACAAACATATTGTTGTAATTTTTTAACTAAACGCAAATATTGTTATAATCCAAGTCAGCATTAGTTTAATTATTTCACTTTTAGTATTTCAAATTAATTTACTAAAATAAATAAATATTTTTTGTCATAAATATTTGTCATCATAGTATTTTGTTTATGGTAATTTAGTGTAATTATTATTTTTATCAAATAAACAAAACACAGTATATTTGCTCAACAATACAGTAATTGTTGAATTTAAAAGTTAATTCAGGAGTCATTATAAGTGCAAAATTTAGGATTTCTGCGAATTAATGTATAGTTATATCTTATAATGCGTTAAATGCACTCACATTTGAATGTAAATTGTGTTAACTATAGAAGCATTAAATATAAAAGGATTAACTTTTGAAAAATTAGAAAATTTTTATAATAACTCGAGAGAGAGAGAGAGAGAGAGAGAGA